TTTGTATGTCAAATTGGCTGGGCCTGGTTGAGTGGTTGGGCAGCTGGATGTAGTATTCCCCATGATGAGACTGGTAATCAACTCCATGGTGGAATCTACTTGGAGCAGCTGAGTAGCTGCCTTAGGGAATGGGGTCTGCTTCCTGTATATAAGCAGAAGCCTTGAGGAATCGTCTCTAGCTTATGGCATGCTTAGACCCGACATGTAACCGTGTCGCTATTCAGCAGCCTGCCATGCTCTGCCAACCTGGGGACTTTCAATGGACTTAAATTAACGGCCTGCCATGTGCTTTGGTAACATCAGGACTGTGCCTTTTTACTTGCCAACCTTGGGCTTGGCAGCCTCAGCAGCCAGCAGCTGTCTGAGTAAAGTGAAGCCTCTAGCTTCAGTGGGCCAGGAGCTAGGAGCAGAGCTGTAGCCCAAGGCTGAAGGGCTTTCACCCAGCCCCTAGAGCCTGGCACTTTGAACTTGGACTTAAAGCCTCCAAACTGTAAGAGAATAAACTGTTTGTTAAGGCCATTCCATTTGTGGTATATTCCTGTCAGAGTGGCACTAGGTAAACAGAACACCCATCAATATGATGTCTACAAGAGATACACCTTAGAGAGAAAGATACAAATAGACTAAAAATCAAAGGTTGGAAAAAGATATATCAAGCAAATGGCAACCATAAAGGAGCAGGAGTGGCAATATTAATTTCTGATAAAATTGACTTTAAGACAAAAACCACCGTAAGAAAGTACATTATCCTCACAACTGGTACACCATGCAATTTCTCAGCCTATACGACTGAGACCAGAAGAACTAGATGGTGCCCAGCTACCACTGTTGACAATTCGGAGGAGGATCTATGTAGGAGATCCTGGATAGAGAGGGAGAACAACGTGGAACAAAACTCAAAATCATTTAAAAAAAAATAAAGGTTTGCTGGTCTGATAGAGCCTGGTGGAACCACTGAGACTATGGTCCCTAGCTGCCCTTCAGGTCTGGAATTGAACCTACACCTGTGGCTTCCAGCCAAACAAAAGACAGGCATATGAGTTGAACATGTACCTGAGGCAGATACACTCCTTGTAGAGAAAAATCATGGGAGAAAGAAAAGCTTTTATGCACAGAGAGACAGTTCAGGGGGCAGGAGTGCATGGAGGGATGGACACAGGAAAGAGGTAACTATTGGGAGGAAGTGGGAGGGGGAGGTGTTGCATTGGGGTAAATTGTCAATGTCAAGAGACAATGTGTATGTGAACTGCTGTATGAAAAGTGAATTTGCTCTGTAAACTTTCACCCAAATTACAATTTAAAAAAAAAAAGGGACATTATATAATCATTAAAGGATCTATTGAACAAGAGGACTTAACCGTAATATGTATCTACACACCCAATGAAAGAGCCCCAAAATACATAAATCAGACTTTAACAGAATTTAGAAGACAAACAGATGACTCTGCAATCATAGTAAGAGACTTTAATACACCATGTTTAATCACAGAACAACTGAAAAGAAACTCAACAAAGACACAGAAGAACTAAACAATACAATCCACCAACTAGACCTTTAAAACATGTACAGAGTACTCCACCCAACAACAGCACAATATACGTTCTTTTCCAGTGCACATGGAACATTTTCCAGGATAGTTCATAGGTTAGGCCACAAAGCATGCCTCAATAAATTTAAAAACATTAAGATACTGCAAAATATCTTCTCAGATCACAGTGCTATAAAATTAGAAATCAACAACAGGAAGATCAATGGAAAAAGAGCAAACACATGGAAACAGTAACACCCTCCTTAGAAATGATTGGGTAATGGAAGAAATAAAAAATGAAATTAAAAAATTACTTGAATCAAATGAGAATGAAAACACAACATACCAAAATCTTTGGGACACAGCAAAAGCAGTGGTCAGAGGGCAATATAGAGCCACAAATGCACACATCAAAAAAGAAGAAACAGCCAAAATCAATGCGTTAACCCAACATCTCCAACAATTAGAAAAAGAGCAGCCAAAAAAAAAAAAAAAAAGTCTACAGTCACCAGAAGAAAATAAATAATAATGAGTGGAGCAGAAACAAATGAAACAGAAAATAGAAAGACAACAGGGAAACTCAACAAGAACAAAAGTTGGTTTTTCGAAAAGATTAATAAAATTGGCAAACTTAAAGGAAAAGAAGGAGAAAATACAAAACACATGAATAACAAACCAACAGAACCAACTGAAATAAAAAGGATAATATTAGGAAACTATGAAGAACTGCACTCCAACAAATTTGAAATCAAGAACAAATGGACAGATGTCTAGAAACATACTAATTACCTAAACCAATAACAGACTGATTTGGACAATCTGAATTGACCTGTTACAAAAGAAGATATTGAACAGGTCACAAAAAATTATCAACAACAAAAAAAAACCCTAACCCAGATGGTTTCACTGGAGAATTCTACCAAAAATTCAGAGAACTAATACCAATCTTACTCAAAGTATTCCAGAACATAGAAAAGGACAGATTCTTCCCAAATTCATTTTATGAAGCAACCATAATCTTGAAACCAAACCAAGCAAAGACATCACTAAGAAGAACACTACAGACCAATATCCCTCATGAATATGGTCGCAAAAATCTTCAACAAAATTGCAGTCAATAGACTTCAACCACATATCAAAAAAAATAATAATAATACATTATGACCAAATGGGGTTCATACCAGGTAGGCAAGGATGGTTCAATATTAGAAAAACTATCAGCGTCATCCATCACATAAGTAAAAGAAAAGAACCACGTGATCCTATCAATAGATGCAGAAAAGGCACTTGATAAAATCCAACACCCATTCCTGATAAAAACTCTCAGCAAAACAGGAATACAAGGGAAATTCCTAAACATAGTAAAGGGCATATAGACAAAACAACCAACCTTATTCTCGATGGAGAGAGACTGAAATCATTCCCCTTGCGAACCAGACAAAGATATCCTCTATCACCACTTCTATTCAACATTATATTGGAAGTTCAAGCCAGGGCAGTAAGGCAAGAAAAGGAAATAAAAGACATCCAAATTGGTAAGAAAAGTAAAACTACTCCTATTTGCAGATGATATAATCCTATACAGAGAAAATGCAAGAGACTCAGCAAAGAAACTACTGGAACTTATTGAGAAATTTAGCATAGTGGCAGGATACATGATCAACATACAAACATCAGTTGGATTCCTCTACACCAAAAATGAGATTGCTGAAAAAGAAATCATTACCAATTACAATAGCTACCAAAAAAAAAATAATAAAATATCTGGGAATAAATCTTACTAGGGACACAAAAGACATTTACAAGAAAACATAAGAGATCTACATAAATGGAAGAACATACCATGCTCATGGACAGGAAGATTGAGCATTATGAAAATGTCAATACCAACTCAAAACAATCTATACATTCAATGCAATCCCAATCCAGATCCCATCAACATTCTTCAAAAGATATGGAAAAACCAATCACTAATTTTACATGGAAACAATGGAGACTTCAGATAAGCAAAGCACTACTATGAACAACCACAAAGTAGGAGGTCTCTCACTCCCTGATCTCAAAACCTATTATATAGCCACAGTAGTAGTCAAAACAGCCTGGTATTGGTACAACAGACACATAGACCAGTGGAAGAGAACTGAGAACCCAGAAATAGATCCAACGACCTATGGTCAGCTGACCTTTTGACAAAGGACCAAAATCCATTAAATGGGGAAGAGAGAGTCTCTTTAACAAATAGTGTTGGCAAAAACTGGGTCTATTTGCAGAAAAATGAAGTAAGGTCCATAACTCACACCATACACAAAAACTAACTTCAGATGAATCAAAGACTTAAATGTGAAATCTAAAACTATAAACAAAGTTCCTTGAGGAAAAAAAATAGGGCAAATTAAGGAGCCCAAATGCAATCACAAGAACTGGACTCCACAACAAGATACACCATCTGAAAGAAGTATACAACCACGATACAAATGACAGGTTGTATTTCAAAGTGATCCAATGCACAGAGAGAACATCCAATATAGCTACAGAGAGTCTGCTATAGAAAGATCAATGCGTAGATCTCCGTCCTATCACTAGCAATCGGAAAATAATTACACTGTGTGGCTTACATACAGAGAATGACACAATTTGTCTTTACAGTAAACACTACCTAATGCCCATTTTATATTTAGAGATAAACAGATACAATCTGGTTACAGGGTCAGAATTATCTAAGTATAATTATTGAAAATAGTTCACTGGAATTTATTAAGTATGTTTGAGTTTTTATATAATGATTGTTCTAAAAAAAAATTTTAAGAAGTTGGGGAAGAATATTCCTTAAGAATTTATAAGTCTTATTAGGGATGAAGGTCCGAGTGGCACAGTTTGTGCTTAGCTATTAACCTGAAAGTTGCAAATTTGAACCCACCCAACAGATCATGGAAGAAAGACCTGGTGATTTGCTTCCATAAAGACTACAACCAAGAAAATCCTATGGAGCAGTGGTATTCTGTAACACACAGGATTGCTCTGAGTTGGAATCAACTCAACAGCAATGGGTTTATTATGGGTAAAGACATACCTTTGTGTCTTTGAACAACTAAAGTCAACCTTCATCTGATATGAGAGGTAGGAAGAGTATGGTACTTTCTTCCTCAAAAGACAGACATGATTAAGGATACGAAATTTGACTGCTAACCAAAAGGTTGGCAGTCCAAACCCACCAAGCCACTCCATGAAAAGAAGATGGGGCAAGCTACTTCTGTAAAGATTTACCGCTTCAGAAACCCAGTGGGGGTCACTATGAGTCAGAATCAACTCGATGGCAGTGGGTTTGGGTTTTTTTTTTTGGATCTTCTAGAAAGAAGAAGTAAGAGTGTAAGAGATGCAGTCCTAAGATACACAGTTGGAGAAAAGTTAAATATAGGGACTGTAGTAGCATAAAAATAAAATGAAAAAAAAAAAAGTGAAAAATTAACTTACTCTTTTCAATGAGCTGGTCCTGAACTCCTGCCAATGCACTTACTGCCTAAAAGAAAAAGCCACCAATTACTAGAAAAATTATCACAGACCTCAGGTGACCACTTGAAGCAAGGGAGGAAGGGGAAGAGAAAACTCGCAGAAATTGAACTGAGGTCTTCCTCAATAATGGGCCACAACAAGATATACCCCCACCTCACTTACAGCTGCTGAAGTAACTGAGGATTTACTGAAGAGCCGCTCAGCTTCCTTAAACTTCCGGTTCCTCCGATCGTTTTTGCTATTGGAGTTTCTAAAACACAGAAGAAACTCATTATAAGCATCAAGCTATGTCTGTGGTTTAAGCTGGGGATGCCCCAGGGCACATGTAAGGAACTCTTTTTTTCCTACCACCTTCCATAAAGGAATGCCACCTCAACTAAGGGCCATTCACAAGGAAGAATTATCTTCATGTACATTGTTTCTTAGAGAGAATAACATAAAACATTCATTTCATCTGTTTTCAAAATTAATAACAGGGAATATGAAAATCTATTTAATGAAGAATTACAAAAAATATACATCATTTAAGAAGGGAAAGAGAAAGAGAGCAAAGAAAGGAGAAAAGAAAAGCAGGGGAAAGAAAAATGGATTAAAAAGATAAAGAATACAGACAAAGATAAAGCAAAAACAAACTGGGAAACATTTAAAGCAAAACAGATAAAAGATTTATAAAGAAAGGAATACACACACACACACAAGTATGGACAGCCTGCCAAACTGGGACTGACATGCAGATAGCTAAAGAAGTGGAGACCTATAGCTACACTTGAGACACTTATATGCCCACAGGAGACAGACAGACAACCAAGAGATACACCACACACACTGCTAGAATTGGACGTGTGGGAGAATTCAGACAGAGGAGGAGGAATGAATGAAAAAACAGATACACACACACACATATAAAGAGGGGAGTGAGAGTGAGTAGGATAGTAGCATACAGATCTATACTTTCAATCAAGACAAAGAAACAACTTACCTCCCACCCTAAGCAAGGAAAAAGAAACAAAATTAGGGTAATGTGTGGCTGAGAAATAATAAACACACTGATATGGATGAAATAGGTGGGGGAGGGATGTTGGACTTCTGTACACATGATAACAAAGCAAATCACATAAGATGGAATGAGAAAGCCAAGAAAAGCAAGGATTAGGAAGAAAAATAAGAAGGGAAGAAACAAGTTAAGGAACAGTTTATCTATTGAAGGAAATTTTCTTTGTTGGTTACCAGGGGTGGGAGGGGAGGGGAGGGAA